AGCTAGTAGACTATCGCCAGAGCGAATCCTTCTAGCTAGCGTATAGATGAGGTGTTCCTTCCTCTGCCCACAGTCATCCGCACAGATTGTGTTCAAGCATCGCAGCAGATTAAACGCAGTCTCCCTTGCAGAGTTTGATTCAGATGGTGTCAGAACCATCTATGGTTGGCCATGCCGACCCGTCCAGTTTCTTGAGCCCGAGTCCGTCGGGAACTTCCAAAGGATCCGAGGTTGATTCTGCTCCATCCCGGCCTCCGTTCCTCTCTGGAACTCGTGAACCCGAGCCTTGCTCGCCGTGCACATTATGTGGCGGTGAAGTGATAGCTCCAACGAGAGTGAGTCGGGCATCCGAATCCTCTGATTGGTATCTCTCTCCATTGTCTGAGCCATCACAATAGGCCCGTCTAGAATCTACGGCTGAGAATCCGGAATGCTCCGGAATGGTGTTAGCCTTTGGAAGGTGATAACATCTACTTTCAGCGGCGTCGAACCTTGGCTGTGATCGGAGAGAAGAAACGTAGACGGACTGATGGCACCAACCTTCTCGATGCTCTTGTATCGAATGCTCGAGCAACTTCTAACACAGTTGGAAGCTCAGCAGGATGTAGGTTCGGGACCAGGCATGTGCCTCTCCCACACGAATGCCTTCTGTCTGCGTCTCGTCACCGTTGCGCGTTGTCTCGGGTGCGAAGTTATGCTTCTGGTATTTCAGACTCGACTCCTTCTGACCCCGAGAAAATCCAGCCAGGGGAGAAGCTCAGCGAAGGAGCTCGTTGTTTCATCTGCGAGCGGGTTTATCATACCGATTGTGCAGATCTGCGGCCTACTAGTCTGGATACACGCGAGGCGCTCGGAATACGAGGTCGTCCTCGAGCCATTCGACTCCCCTCTGGACCTTGGTAGGGTTGTAGGTATATTCTACTCGTGCGGTAGATGTCGAAAGAAGAGACAGGAAGCATACCGACTCGCGACGACTGGCAACAAAAGCGTTCCCGTTGGTCCGGAATATCAAGCGCCCGAGATTCCCAAGCTCTG